CTAACTAACTAACTAACTAACTAACTAACTAACTAACTACCTAACTAACTACTAACTACTAACTAACTAACTACAACTACTACTAACTAACTAACTAACTAACTACTAACTAACTAACTAACTACTAACTACTAACTACCTAACTAACTCTAACTAACTAACTAACTAACTACTAACTAACTAACTAACTAACTAACTAACTAACTCTAACTAACTAACTAACTAACTAACTAACTAACTAACTAACTAACTAACTAACTCTAACTACTACTAACTAACTAACTAACTAACTAACTAACTAACTACTAACTAACTAACTACTAACTACTAACTAACTAACTACTAACTAACACTAACTAACTAACTAACTACTACTAACTAACTAACTAACTACTAACTAACTAACTAACTAACTAACTAACTACTAACTAACTAACTAACTAACTACTAACTAACTAACTAACTACTAACTAACTAACTAACTAACTAACTAACTAACTAACTAACTACAACTAACTACTAACTAACTAACTAACTAACTTAACTAACTAACTAACTAACTAACTACCTAACTAACTAACTAACTACTAACTAACTAACTAACTAACTAACTAACTAACTACTAACTAACTACTAACTAACTAACTAACTAACTAACTAACTAACTAACTAACTAACTAACTAACTAACTAACTAACTAACTAACTAACTACTAACTACTAACTAACTAACTAACTAACTAACTAACTAACTACTAACTAACTAACTACTAACTACTAACTAACTACTAACTAACTAACTAACTAACTAACTAACTAACTAACTAACTAACTAACTACTAACTAACTAACTAACTAACTACCTAACTAACTAACTAACTAACTAACTAACTAACTAACTAACTAACTAACTAACTAACTAACTAACTAACTAACTAACTAACTAACTAACTAACTAACTAACTAACTAACTAACTAACTAACTAACTAACTAACTAACTAACTACTAACTAACTACTAACTCTAACTAACTAACTAACTAACTAACTAACTAACTAACTAACTAACTAACTAACTAACTAACTACTAACTACTAACTACTAACTAACTACTAACTAACTAACTACTAACTAACTAACTACTAACTAACTAACTACTAACTAACTAACTAACTAACTAACTAACTAACTAACTACTAACTAACTACTACTAACTAACTAACTAACTACTAACCTAACTAACTAACTAACTAACTACTAACTAACTAACTAACTAACTAACTAACTAACTACTAACTACACTAACTAACTACTAACTAACTAACTAACTACCTAACTAACTAACTAACTACTAACTAACTAACTAACTAACTAACTAACTACTACTAACTAACTAACTACTAACTAACTAACTAACTACTAACTAACTAACTAACTAACTAACTAACTAACTAACTAACTAAACTAACTAACTAACTAACTAACTAACTAACTAACTAACTAACTAACTAACTAACTACTAACTAACTAACTAACTAACTAACTAACACTAACTAACTAACTAACTAAACTAACTAACTAACTTAATTAATTAATTCCCTGTCTGGGCAACCCACACACTATTTGCGCAACCTGCCACTGTTTACCCGAAAAACGCAAAATAAAAATGAATAATATTTTTTTTCTACATTCCACTTTGGTTAGCATCTACAAAATTTGGACTACTGCTCCTGGTTCTTGTTGTCATCATCTCGTTTGAGGGTGAGTTGGGTAATGGTTTGGGTTTTTCGGTTATTTCATCAAAGTTAAAATTCATAACATTTTGTACAATAAATAAGTTAGACCTTGGCAAATATGGATTAAGTATATAAATAAAACATGGAAACAGCAAAACACACCTAACTACGTTAAAATTTTTGGCAAACAAAAAAAAAAAAAAAAGAAATATTCTTTCATTAAACAAAAGTGTGCAAGGAGTAGTGGTAGTAGTAATAGTAGTTAAAACACTACTACACACATTTATATATCTAAACAAAGGTTTTCTTTTATTTGTATTACTTTAGATGTGAGTGTGTGTATGTTTTTGCCACTAGAAATGAATTTTATACGGGAGGGTAGAACTTTTCTTTTGGCTTCTATGTGGGAGTAACAACTTTTAAAACATCTGTTCCTTTTCATTTCATTATAAGCATTGTTGTTAAAATTAAATGACAAGAGGTCCTTTTAATGGAATATTTGAAGAGGACATTATGAAATTTATATGATAAATTAAAATATATATGTATATGTACATATATAAGATAATTAGCAATGATATGGTTAAAATTATGTGGTTGTCCTTTAAGAAAAGGAAAAGTTCCTTGAAATTTATGAAACAGAAAACAAAAGGAAAATGTTTGGCTTCCATGAAAGTAAGAATAATGATGTTTAAAAGGAGTCTTTTTAAGTTCGATGAAACTATAGACTAGACTATAGACTAGACTATAGACTAGACTATAGACCTGACTATAGACTAGACATAGACTAGACCTTATAGACTAGACTATAGACTAGACTATAGACTAGACTATAGACTAGGACTATAGACTAGACTATAGACTAGACTATAGACTAGACTATAGACTAGACTATAGGACTAGACTAATGACTAGACTATAGACTAGACTATTGACTAGACTATAGACTAGACTATAGACTAGACTATAGACTAGACTATAGACTAGACTATAGACTAGACTATAGACTAGACTATAGACTAGAATTATGACTAGACTATAGACTAGACTATTGACTAGACTATAGACTAGGACGATAGACTAGACTATAGACTAGACTATAGACTAGACTATAGACTAGGAATCTAGACTAGACGATAGAACTAGACTATTGACTAGACTATTGACTAGCACTATAGACTAGACTATAGACTAGACTATAGACTAGACTATAGACTAGACTATAGACTAGACTATAGACTAGACTATAGACTAGACTATAGACTAGACTATAGACTAGACTATAGACTAGACTATAGACTAGACTATAGACTAGACTATAGACTAGACTATAGACTAGACTATAGACTAGACTATAGACTAGACTATAGACTAGACTATAGACTAGACTATAGACTAGACTATAGACTAGACTATAGACTAGACTATAGACTAGACTATAGACTAGACTATAGACTAGACTATAGACTAGACTATAGACTAGACTATAGACTAGACTATAGACTAGACTATAGACTAGACTATAGACTAGACTATAGACTAGACTATAGACTAGACTATAGACTAGACTATAGACTAGACTATAGACTAGACTATAGACTAGACTATAGACTAGACTATAGACTAGACTATAGACTAGACTATAGACTAGACTATAGACTAGACTATAGACTAGACTATAGACTACTAGACTATAGACTAGACTATAGACTAGACTATAGACTAGACTATAGACTAGACTATAGACTAGACTATAGACTAGACTATAGACTAGACTATAGACTAGACTATAGACTAGACTATAGACTAGACTATAGACTAGACTATAGACTAGACTATAGACTAGACTATAGACTAGACTATAGACTAGACTATAGACTAGACTATAGACTAGACTATAGACTAGACTATAGACTAGACTATAGACTAGACTATAGACTAGACTATAGACTAGACTATAGACTAGACTATAGACTAGACTATAGACTAGACTATAGACTAGACTATAGACTAGACTATAGACTAGACTATAGACTAGACTATAGACTAGACTATAGACTAGACTATAGACTAGACTATAGACTAGACTATAGACTAGACTATAGACTAGACTATAGACTAGACTATAGACTAGACTATAGACTAGACTATAGACTAGACTATAGACTAGACTATAGACTAGACTATAGACTAGACTATAGACTAGACTATAGACTAGACTATAGACTAGACTATAGACTAGACTATAGACTAGACTATAGACACTAGACTATAGACTAGACTATAGACTAGACTATAGACTAGACTATAGACTAGACTATAGACTAGACTATAGACTAGACTATAGACTAGACTATAGACTAGACTATAGACTAGACTATAGACTAGACTATAGACTAGACTATAGACTAGACTATAGACTAGACTATAGACTAGACTATAGTCTAGACTATAGACTAGACTATAGACTAGACTATAGACTAGACTTTTTATTTTCTACACTTTAATTTTTTTCTATTTCCGGTTTGAAAATACTATTGAAATTATATGAAAAACCATGTTTTGTAAATTTTATTTGATTTTTTCTATTTATTTCATGTCTAAATCCTTTTAGGAACAAGTTTAGTGTATGTGTTTTTTCCCCCAGAACTAGTGTTGAACTGGGGGAAAAGAACACAGAAAGTGCACTACTCTGTTACGTAGTTATAGTAAATAGTTTACGAACGAATGACTACCAAGTGGAAAATTAGTGGAAAATGAATATTTATGGTTGCTGCAGCAAAGGATTAAGGCCAGAAAATATACTAAGTAAGAACACTCATACATACAAAATTTTCGGGTATTTCGGTTGAAGGGAGTAAAAAGCGAAAAAGTATTGTGAAAAAGTAATAACAACAGCAAATTGTATGAATTAGTTTGAAAAAACATACATATTAAAATAAATATAGAAAATATCCTTGAATATTGCCCCTATAAACAAAAATATGTTAAAGTTTAACAAAAGAAAAGTAATAGGAAAAGGGTTATTAAGAAAAGAGGTGTTAGTGGAATAGAAATTTTCAAAAATTTCTGTTAAAAAGTTCTTTTCGGTTGTTTAAAAAATTTTATGCTGAAAGTTTTATTTAAGTTTTTAAAAATTTTGTTTTTTGGCGCCACCCCAATTTAAATTCCTAATAAAAATAACAAAATATCTAAAATCAAAGACTTTATTAAAACAAAATATATTTTCCCTAAAAAGGTATAAAATTATATATTCATTAACTTACCAATAAAACACTTTCCCAAGCCATCCATCGTATGGGCATAGGTTGGGTTTGACGACCAGCCGAACCCTCCAATTGACAATAGTCACTCGTATAAGCAGAACGATTTATCACAGTACCAATAGTGCAGACTTTAACGCTATATTCGGGGCCGATAATGCAACTTCTGAAATAAGTAAAAAAATATATAAACATGCTTTTAATCAAAACAAATACTTGGGCTTTATTACTTAAAAATATCATTTTTAATATAAAATATTAAAATATTAAAAAAAATACAAAATTTTACCCACTTCAATAACTTGTTAATGTCCATTTATGGTATATGCTTCAGAACACATTCTATAACAAAATAAATATTCCCTGTTTTAACCACAAATCATATATTTTCAAGTGTTCTTTGGTGAACAGTTCTTCATAATAATACTTCCACAAAAAAAACATCCCTTAATTTACACCCTTCATTCAAAAAATGTAGTTTCCTGCCAGTATCTCAATCATCTTTATGTTATAAGTGTTGATTTTTATTAAACTCCCTTTAAATTTCAACGTTGTTGTTTTTTTTTTCAAATAACAAACGTTAAATAATCTTTATTGTAACAGTTAGTGCCAGTTTTGCAAAGAGCATTTTTGTAATGAATTAATGTTTGTTTTGTTTATTCTATTTCCCCCTTATAAATATTAAATTTTTTCTTAAATCTAGTTATTTTGCTTATTTTTTGAGTATCATCATCAAACATTATTTGTCCCGCAGACATATCACTCTAATATCTGGTCTATACTGGATTTCATAAATGTTTTGCGCCCAGGGCAAGATGAGTTTTAGCTTTTTTTTCTGCTTTAAATTCAAAATGGCAAACGATTTAGGAAAATAAATGGGAGTTTAAAAACAAAAAAGGTAGAATTAAAAAGGCACTAAAACAACTAAAAAATAGTCTAGTCTATAGTCAAGTCTAGTCTATAGTCTAACCTATAGTCTAGTCTATAGTCTAACCTATAGTCTAGTCTATAGTCTAGTCTATAGTCTAACCTATAGTCTAGTCTATAGTCTAACCTACAGTCTAGTCTATAGTCTAGTCTATGGTCTAGTCTGTAGTCTAGTCTATAGTCTAGTCTATAGTCTAATCTATAGTCTAGTCTATAGTCTAGTCTATAGTCTAGTCTATAGTCTAGTCTATAGTCTAGTCTATAGTCTAATCTATAGTCTAGTCTATAGTCTAGTCTATAGTCTAGTCTATAGTCTAGTCTATAGTCTAGTCTATAGTCTAATCTATAGTCTAGTCTATAGTCTAGTCTATAGTCTAGTCTATAGTCTAGTCTATAGTCTAGTCTATAGTCTAGTCTATAGTCTAGTATATAGTCTAGTCTATAGTCTAGTCTATAGTCTAGTCTATAGTCTAGTCTATAGTCTAGTCTATAGTCTAGTCTATAGTCTAGTCTATAGTCTAGTCTATAGTCTAGTCTATAGTCTAGTCTATAGTCTAGTCTATAGTCTAGTCTATAGTCTAGTCTATAGTTAGTCTATAGTCTAGTCTATAGTCTAGTCTATAGTCTAGTCTATAGTCTAGTCTATAGTCTAGTCTATAGTCTAGTCTATAGTCTAGTCTATAGTCTAGTCTATAGTCTAGTCTATAGTCTAGTCTATAGTCTAGTCTATAGTCTAGTCTATAGTCTAGTCTATAGTCTAGTCTATAGTCTAGTCTATAGTCTAGTCTATAGTCTAGTCTATAGTCTAGTCTATAGTCTAGTCTATAGTCTAGTCTATAGTCTAGTCTATAGTCTAGTCTATAGTCTAGTCTATAGTCTAGTCTATAGTCTAGTCTATAGTCTAGTCTATAGTCTAGTCTATAGTCTAGTCTATAGTCTAGTCTATAGTCTAGTCTATAGTCTAGTCTATAGTCTAGTCTATAGTCTAGTCTATAGTCTAGTCTATAGTCTAGTCTATAGTATAGTCTATAGTCTAGTCTATAGTCTAGTCTATAGTCTAGTCTATAGTCTAGTCTATAGTCTAGTCTATAGTCTAGTCTATAGTCTAGTCTAGTCTATAGTCTAGTCTATAGTCTAGTCTATAGTCTAGTCTATAGTCTAGTCTATAGTCTAGTCTATAGTCTAGTCTATAGTCTAGTCTATAGTCTAGTCTATAGTCTAGTCTATAGTCTAGTCTATAGTCTAGTCTATAGTCTAGTCTATAGTCTAGTCTATAGTCTAGTCTATAGTCTAGTCTATAGTCTAGTCTATAGTCTAGTCTAGAGTCTAGTCTATAGTCTAGTCTATAGTCTAGTCTATAGTCTAGTCTATAGTCTAGTCTATAGTCTAGTCTATAGTCTAGTCTATAGTTAGTCTATTGTCTAGTGTGGAGTCTACCGTAATTTTGATTCTTGTTGCAAAGCTGTTAATGAACTAAGTTTACCAATTAAAATCTAATATTAAAAGTTTGTCAAGTGGTCAACAGAGTCTATTTTGAATGGAAGTGTACGTCTCAATTGCGCAATATTTTAAAGGGGTTGTTATGGATTAAAATTTTTAAAAATTTGACCTTAATAAAACCATAACAAAACCCGTTAGAAGTAACCATGAAATTATTTAAAAATATATAAAGAGACAAATTAAAGCACAGGCAGCATATGTTGGAATTAATGCTAGATTTGCATGAAATAAACGAATAAATTGAATTAAGAAATGTTTAAAGGAGAATTTTCAATTTCATCAGCCTAAGGATATATAAATCTTTTCATAATTTTTACTTTCATTTTCCATATTTCCTTTAACCCACTCTCAATGTGGTTGTTAAATGCATATGTAAAATCCAGTTTACATTGATATCTTCATAGATAAGTATGTATGTATGTATGTGGAATTTTCATTTAATTCTTAACATATGTTACTTAATATTCCAGACAATAGAGTCAAACTCCTTCCTGGTAGGAAAACACTTGTTTCGTTGTAACAAAAGTTATGTTTATAAAGAAAAGGAAATTAAAAGTAACGAAGGATGTGCTCTTGATATCTAAGAAAAAGGTTGAGATGTTTCTAGTTGAGAAAGTATTTAAATATTTATTTGTTATTAAAAAAAAATAAACAAATATATGTATGAATATTTAAATAACTAGTCTGGAAAGAGTTTTTTATGTTTTTTCTAAAGGAAATTACAAAATTAAGTGAAGGGGAAAGATAAAAAAGTTTACTTTTTCTTTTGTCGAAATAAAGGATGCCTGAGAAAATTATAAGAAACTTGAAATTAAATTTATTAAAATTTAGAAAAAAGTGTAATATATATTATGATTTCGTTTTGAATTAAATAGAAAAATTGACACCATAAAGGAAAAAGAGCTGCAAATAAAAACTGTTTCAAAATAATCTTTTAGAGTTGCCATCAGTTCTACTTCAATTCTAGTTCAGTTCTAGTTCAGTTCTAGTTCAGTTCTAGTTTAGTTCTAGTTCAGTTCTAGTTCAGTTCTCGTTCAGTTCAGTTCAGTTCTAGTTCAGTTCTAGTTCAGTTCTAGTTCAGTTCTAGTTCAGTTCTAGTTCAGTTCTAGTTCAGTTCTAGTTCAGTTCTAGTTCAGTTCTAGTTCAGTTCTAGTTCAGTTCTAGTTCAGTTCTAGTTCAGTTCTAGTTCAGTTCTAGTTCAGTTCTAGTTCAGTTCTAGTTCAGTTCTAGTTCAGTTCTAGTTCAGTTCTAGTTCAGTTCTAGTTCAGTTCTAGTTCAGTTCTAGTTCAGTTCTAGTTCAGTTCTAGTTCAGTTCTAGTTCAGTTCTAGTTCAGTTCTAGTTCAGTTCTAGTTCAGTTCTAGTTCAGTTCTAGTTCAGTTCTAGTTCAGTTCTAGTTCAGTTCTAGTTCAGTTCTAGTTCAGTTCTAGTTCAGTTCTAGTTCTAGTTCAGTTCTAGTTCAGTTCTAGTTCAGTTCTAGTTCAGTTCTAGTTCAGTTCTAGTTCAGTTCTATTTCTAGTTCCAATTTTACAACTTGTTTAATTGAATTTAATAAAATGGAACACACAAATAATTTGTTATCTTTACATTTACTCAAAATTTTGAGTGAAAGGTTTAATTTACAATATGACGATGTGACAAAGGAAGAAGAAGGAGCATCAAAAAAAAAAAACTACAGCCTGAAAATTTCAAAAGAATTATTCACATGTTGGACTTTTCAATTTTTAATGTTTTAAATGCAGACATTTGCGAACAAAAAAAGTAAAACGCAAACACGCTCACACCAGAAATAAGTAAAAGATAATTTAATACAGGACATTCCATCAGACAAAATGTCCTGATGACGGTGACGACGGCAGCAGCGATGAGGATACTGATATTGATGATGAACGCAAATAAAGACAAAATACGCTAGAGCTACTTACAGTAACGATATCATGCTGTTTTCGTTTGTTTTTTTTTCGCTGAATACTATGAAAAACATAACGAAAAATACGTTTTATTTTGACAAGTATTGACAATGACAGTGACACGTGTCAATTTTCCCTTTTTCTTCAAGTATTGTGTTATTTTGAATTGCGTAGCGTTATGTTAAGGCAATATATAGAAAGAGAAACAGATATGACATAAAGGAGGATTTTTATTTATGTGTCAGAATCTGCTCCAACTCCAACCCCGAGTCTGGTATATTCATACATACGTGAGTACGCGTATACGAAGACATGTGAGAATGTACACTTAGAGAAAATCATTGAATCAATGAAGATTTCGTTTAAACACGGAAACTGTATTCGAACTGAAACTGAACTAGAACTGTTCTTCATATAACTGAACTGTTACTGAAATATACATATCTGACGTATAACTGAACTAGCACTGAGTTTTATTATTTTTTTTTCTAACTGTAACCAATTTATTATGCTGCCTTTAAAACATGCACATGTTCGTAAAGGTCCTCATCAGCAACAACATTGTCCTCATCATCAACACTACCACCATCATCATCATCCACAAAAACATTCTTATGATGACGTTTGTAATGTTGATGAGATCAAGGATTATAAATATGTCTGGAATTTAAGCTGCATTGATAATGTATCGTATAAATTCAATTTTCCATTTGTATATTTCATTTTTTCATCTCCAGTCATATGATACTTACAACACCCAAAATACTATTTTAGCCAAAACCCGTACAGGATTTAAACGAAGAAACAGGGAAAAAAGGTTATGCACGCAATATTATATGCTACACATTTTATTGTTAATAATTTATTTTGTAGTGCGAGAGATGAACTCTCGTGTTACGAAAAGTTTAAGGATGTATTTTTACGTTTTGTTTATTTCCTCCTGTCAAGTGTATGAGATTAGTTTTGTAAGCTCATCTTATGTTTTCTTATTATTCAACACAGTGGAAACCATCCTTCATCCTTCTAATAGGGTTGCAATATTTTAGTTGGAGTGGTTGCGTCATTGTTTATTAAAGTTTTGACAGTGCGTGTAATTCCTCCTGTTACTTTGTATTGTATTTTTATCTCAAATAAGGGTGTTTACCATTAAAATTACCTTAATTATTAGAAAATTTATGCTTGAATAGTTTATATTATTTTTCTCGTTTTTATTATTTTGGCAAACTAGATTTTCCTTTTTTTTCCATGGAAATGATAATTGAATGTGTCAATACATTTGTTAAGCTTCGTGTGGCATCAAGCACACATGATGATTTGGTTTTTGGGGTTCATAAGTTGAGTTATGGTTTCAACATCATGTCTAGGATTATGCAGAAGCTTAAAATCCATGAAAGATAATTGAAAATGTCAAAATTTTTGATGTTCTAAGAATAGAGTCATTTGGAAGAGATGCTTTAATGAATTTTTTCACAATGAGTAAAAATCTAACAACCTACATCAATTGAATTTAAATTTTATTATGACATTTTTCTGTATTGACAGACCAATTAGAAATATTTGATTTGATTAAAACTGAAGGAAAGAATCGAACTAGAACTGAACTAGAACTGAACTAGAACTGAACTAGAACTGAACTAGAACTGAACTAGAACTGAACTAGAACTGAACTAGAACTGAACTAGAACTGAACTAGAACTGAACTAGAACTGAACTAGAACTGAACTAGAACTGAACTAGAACTGAACTAGAACTGAACTAGAACTGAACTAGAACTGAACTAGACTGAACTAGAACTGAACTAGAACTGAACTAGAACTGAACTAGAACTGAACTAGAACTGAACTAGAACTGAACTAGAACTGAACTAGAACTGAACTAGAACTGAACTAGAACTGAACTAGAACTGAACTAGAACTGAACTAGAACTGAACTAGAACTGAACTAGAACTGAACTAGAACTGAACTAGAACTGAACTAGAACTGAACTAGAACTGAACTAGAACTGAACTAGAACTGAACTAGAACTGAACTAGAACTGAACTAGAACTGAACTAGAACTGAACTAGAACTGAACTAGAACTGAACTAGAACTGAACTAGAACTGAACTAGAACTGAACTAGAACTGAACTAGAACTGAACTAGAACTGAACTAGAACTGAACTAGAACTGAACTAGAACTGAACTAGACTGAACTACTGAACTGAACTAGAACTGAACTAGAACTGAACTAGAACTGAACTAGAACTACTGAACTAGAACTGAACTAGAACTGAACTAGAACTGAACTAGAACTGAACTAGAACTGAACTAGAACTGAACTAGAACTGAACTAGAACTGAACTAGAACTGAACTAGAACTGAACTAGAACTGAACTAGAACTGAACTAGAACTGAACTAGAACTGAACTAGAACTGAACTAGAACTGAACTAGAACTGAACTAGAACTGAACTAGAACTGAACTAGAACTGAACTAGAACTGAACTAGAACTGACTAGAACTGAACTAGAACTGAACTAGAACTGAACTAGAACTGAACTAGAACTGAACTAGACTGAACTGAACTGAACTGAACTAGAACTGAACTAGAACTGAACTAGAACTGAACTAGAACTGAACTAGAACTGAACTATACTGAACTAGAACTGAACTAGAACTGAACTAGAACTGAACTAGAACTGAACTAGAACTGAACTAGAACTGAACTAGAACTGAACTAGAACTGAACTAGAACTGAACTAGAACTGAACGAACTGAACTAGAACTGAACTAGAACTGAACTAGAACTGAACTAGAACTGAACTAGAACTGAACTAGAACTGAACTAGAACTGACTACTAGAACTGAACTAGAACTCAACTAGAACTGAACTAGAACTCAACTAGAACTCAACTAGAACTCAACTAGAACTGAACTAGAACTGAACTAGAACTGAACTAGAACTGAACTAGAACTGAACTAGAACTGGCACTAAACTAGAACTGAACTAGAACTGAACTAGAACTAAACTAGAACTAAACTAGAACTGAACTAGAACTGAAATGAACTAGAACTGAAATGAACTAGAACTGAACTAGAACTGAACTAGAACTGAACTAGAACTGAACTAGAACTGAACTAGAACTGAACTAGAACTGAACTAGAACTGAACTAGAACAGAACTAGAACAGAACTAGAACTCAACTAGAACTCAACTAGAACTAAACTAGAACTGAGATGGACATTTTTTTATTTATAAAAAAGTGCTGAACATTAAAATTAAGCCACAAATCTATTAGCCATTAAAACCTTTTAATCATGAAAAAATCTTGATAAGTTTATTTTTTGTGAATAAATTTTATTTACTCTAATTTAATGCAATTTAGTGTGTGTATTGGTGGGTTTTTATCCATACCACATAGGTAAACTGAAAGAGTTGACACCTACTCCATCATTTATAATTCCCTTAATGTCATTGCAAAAATTTGGGGAGTTGAAATCGCAAACCAAATACATGTAGCCAGTAGCAGGAAAAAGAAATAAGCCGATATACATAAATACATACATACGTTCATACATATATATGTATGTGTGTAAGTATAACGTATAGAATGTTTAAGTAAATAAATAAAATTTTTACAAACATCATTCGCATACAACGACGACCAGTCAACCGACAACAAACAACATGGGGCATATCAGTGAAGGGAACACAATACTTCCATACTTGTACAAACATTTACTTTAACATGACTGTAAAATCGAATGTCAGATGTCAGTTATAGGCTGCAATTCTGAAGCCTGCTGTGGAACTATGTTGCACTACTCCTCCCTCTGGGTAGACTCAAAAAGAAAGGTAAAGTAATATGACTGCTAAATATTTATGTACATGTGAGTGTGAAGTAGCAAGTTTATAACATATTAAATACATATTGCAACTACAATAATCCATAGCAGTATTGTTCCCTCACATGTACAAATGCATAGAACTCATGGATGGTTGGATGGCTTTGTCAGCATCCTCATACCATACACATGGGGATGTAAAATCATGTTATAGTAGTTGTGGGCAGCAGCCTCCAACTATGTACACCACATTTACTCATTCACTATAAAATCCTGTCAAAGTTAAGAGTAAAATAGTTTGGGGCATAAACAAAGAGAATAAAAACTGAAAGCTTATGATTCTATTTAGTTCGTTTGTTCCTGCAGCATATGTGGGGTCTACCAAACAGTAGTGGTTAGTGTGTGTGTGTGTTATGGTTGCCTGCCTGGCAGAATGACTAGCTGACTGACTGACTGGATGGTTCGCTGATATTATATGCTTGATGCATTCCATTTATGATGGTTTTTAATACTAAATGTCATCAAAGGTACTGTGTAGGATGAATGATAAAAATTTCCAAATGGAAAGTTGTTTCATAAGGATGATGATGTTGGCGATGGTGTTGTTGCTGCTATTGCTACTACTACAATTTTGTTTTGTTGATGACGTTGGCATAAGTGTCAAAATAAGAGTGAACAAAATAACGCGTTCAGTGTAATAAATTTAACCCATAGCTGCGGCATGTTTGATGATGAACAAAAATATATAAATAAATCCATGTCAACTGTAACAAGAAATTGTGGATTTATATTTATTTATGAAATAAGAAAAGATTTTGTAATAAAATATTAAAGGATTAAGGACAGTACTGTCTTACATACATATGTATGTCGACAACAGGGTGAGATATTCCTTTTAGAAATTGAGATGAATGAAAACGATAGAACAGTTATAAGGTGGGAGAAGATAGACTTCACTGAGAATCTAGTCTAGTCTATAGTCTAGTCTATAGTCTAGTCTATAGTCTAGTCTATAGTCTAGTCTATAGTCTAGTCTATAGTCTAGTCTATAGTCTAGTCTATAGTCTAGTCTATAGTCTAGTCTATAGTCTAGTCTATAGTCTAGTCTATAGTCTAGTCTATAGTCTAGTCTATAGTCTAGTCTATAGTGTAGTCTATAGTCTAGTCTATAGTCTAGTCTATAGTCTAGTCTATAGTCCAGTCT